CATGAATAAAGCTTACTTTCGGTGGTATTTGATCGCTTGTGCATTTATTTTTTTTGCTCTACAAGAAAGAGAAAAAAAAAAAGAATGTTGAGGGGAAAAAAAAAAAAAAAAAAAATTTGACTTTTTTTGCTATTAAACGTCCCGTAAAAATAAAAAACCCAAAAAAAAAAAAAATCAAAATTGGTCATAAATTTAAGGCAAAAATGTATTCTGCCCTGTATGTCTTTGCTAAAAAAATAAATAAAAATCCAGTACGTGTAAATTAATTGGTTTATGTGAAAGTCAGTGTTTACAAAATGGTGGTGTGTGTATATATATATATATATATAATATATATATATATATATACACACATAATATATATATATACAGTCATGGCCGAAATTGTTGGCACCCTTGATATTTCTCCAGGAAATCATGTATTTCTCACGAAACGTATTGCATTAACACATGTTTTGCTATACACATGTTTATTCCCTTTGTGTGTATTGGGACAAAACAAAAAAGGGGAGGAAAGAAAGCAAATTCGACATAATGTCACACAAACCTCCAAAAATGGGCTGGACAAAAGTATTGGCACCCTTTCACAACTGCGGATAAATAAGAATGTTACAAGCATGTGATGCTCCTGTAAACTCACCTGGGGCAAGTAACAGGTGTGGGCAATATAGAAATCACACCCTGAAAGCAGATAAAAAGGAGAGACGTTCACTTAACCTTTGCATTGTGTGTCTGTCTGTGCCACACTAAGCATGGACAACAGAAAGAGGAGACGAGAAACTGTCTGAGGACCTGAAACCAAAATTGTGGCAAAATATCAACAATCTCAAGGTTACAAGTCCATCTCCAGAGAACTAGATTTGCCTTTGTCCACAGTGCGCAACATTATCAAGAAGTTTGCAACCCATGGCACTGTAGCTAATCTCCCTGGTCGTGGACGGATGAGGAAAATTGATGAATATTGCAACGCAGAATAGTCCGATGGTGGATAAAGCAGCCCCAAACATGTTCCAAAGAATTCAAGCTGTCCTGCAGGGCTCAGGGTGCATCAGTGTCAGCGCGAACATTCTAATCACGTCGACTTTAAATGAAATGAAACGCTATGGCAGGGAGACCCAGGGGAGGACCCCACAGCTGACACAGAGACATAAAAAAGCAAGACTATATGCCAAAATGTAAGTAAGCAAAAGCCTCTGGGAAAAGTCTTGTGGACAGATGAGACCAAGATATCAGCTTTTCGGTAAAGCAATCATAACTGTTTACCTGAAAACGGAATGAGGCCTACAAAGAACAAAACACAGTACCTAAACCCACCATAAAATATGGTGGAGGTTCAATGATGTTTTGGGGATTGGGTGTCCTCATGCCTCTGGCACTGGGTGCTGCTTGACAGTGGTGCAAGGCATCATGAAATCTGAGGATTACAAAGGATTTTGTCCACTGTAAGGGGCCCAGTGTCAGAATTTGCGTCCAAGATCCTGGTCTTCCAGCAGGACAATGACCCCCAAACATACGCCCCCCCCCTCAAATAAGCACTCAGAAATGGGATGGCAAAAGAAGCGCTGGAGAGTTCTGAAGTGGCTGCAATGAGCCCATTCATAAATCCCATTGAACACTGTAGAGATACATTAAAATTGCTGTAACACAAACAACACACTTCCAAAATAGAGACCTGGAAAAACATGCAAAGGAGAAGAGTGGTCCAAAAATTCCGGGTAAAAAGTCATAATGATGGTTATAGGAAGCGACTCCTTCTTTCAGTTTATTAATTTCCAAAGGGGTGGTGGCAACCAAATATAAAGTTAAGGGTAGGGGGCCATACTTTTGTCCAAATCCATTTTTGGGGGTTTTGTGGTGACATTATGATCATATTTGCTTTTCTTGCCTCAGTTTTATATTTGTTCCATACATAAAAAGTGATATAAACAATGTATCAAATTTGACTTGTATACCTTTTTTTTGTGTGAAATACTTTGATTGTTTCAGGAAAAATATCAAGGGTGTCCAACAATTTGTAAATTTCATTTGACTTATTTGAACATACAATATATACACCACATAAAAAATAATACATATATAAAAACTAAATAAACATATAAACACCACACAACACATAATCCAAAATTCAGTGCATACAACAATTTAAAAAAATACATATATAAACAAAAATAAAAAAACATAATAGTTGTATACAAAATACAAAATACCAACAAAATACATACATAAAAATAAATACAAACAAAATATAAAAACAAAAAATATTAAAATCAAACAAACAAAATATAAACTAAAAATACATAAATAACAAATTATAAACACATATAAAAACTATAACATAATAAAACAAATCCAAAACAAATAAAAATAAATATAAAAAAAACAAATATATAAATAAAACACACACAATATAAACACATATACAATTAACACTATTAACTACATATATACACACAAATACTACAAATAATACACAATAAAAACATACATAAATATACACAATATACACAAACACATAAATATATACACACAACACATAATACATATATAAAATCTACAAATATATATAAAAAATAAAATATTAAACACAACACATATATAAAAAATAATAAATAAAAACACAAATATAAACAAAAAAATACATATATCAAATAAAATTATATATCAAAAAATAATAATAAACAAAAAAATAAATAATACACACCATATATATACATATAACCAAAATAAAAAAAAATATATAACACAACATAAAAAAACTATAAAATATATAATAATATATAAAAAATAAATACAATAAACAAAATAAAACCAAAATAAAAAAAAACATATAAAAGTATACACACACATTCATACACACACACATATTCATACACATATATTCATACACACACTTTTTTTTTTTTTTTTACTAGTAATGGCGGCGATCAGCGACCTATAGCGAGACTGCGGCGAGCATTCTGACACTGGGGGGACACCAATACAGTGATGAGTGCTAATAAAAAGCAATGACACTGTACTAACAGCACTGGGAAGGAAGGGATTAACGTGGGGTGATCAAAGGGTTAAGTGCGTGCGCTTTCAACTGTAAGGTAATCACCGGCCAGGATGCGGTGATTGACAGCCGAGGCCGCAAATGCCGGTGCAGGTAGGGCGCGCACGCCCGCTACCCAGAACTGCAAAACCACACATCTATATGATTTTACGCATCCGTGCCGATCTGTAGCAATATTTCTGCTATAGGGCGGATGGCAAGTGGTTAAACTTTTTTCTAATTATTAGTTAAATCGCCTTTTTTTTTTTTTTTTTTTACACTTTCCCTTTAAAAAAAAAATTAAATTTTTTTTAAACACTTCCAGCCTGCCTCGGCTGTCAATCACCAGGTCCCAGCCAGCAATTACTCACCGGAACCCGGTGATCGCTGAGCATTACCGATGGGGGGGGGGGGGGGGGAGCTATGTAAACAATACAGTTCTCTCCCGTCAGCTCCTGCACAATGCTTTCTATGGCTCTGCATAGCAGAGCCATACAAAGCAGTGTGCTTACAGTTGAAAGCGCGCACACAGCTTACTGTGAAACAGCACACAGTTAACCCTTTGGTCGCCCCACATTAACCCCTCCCTGCCCAGTGCCATTAGAACAGTGTCAGTGCTTTTTATTAGCACTCATCACTGAATTGGGGTCACCAGGGATGTCAGTGACACCAAGTCAGTTCCCCCCAGTGTCAGAATGCCCGCTGCAGTCCCGCTATAAGTCACTGTTCGCCACCATTACTATTAAAAAAAAATACATATAAAAAAAAATTCCAGTATGTATACCGCCATTTGTAAACACTGACTTTCACGTAAACCAATTAATTTACACATATTGGGATTTTTTTCTTGCAAAGACATACATTACAGGGCAGAATACATTTTTGCCCTAAATTTATGACAAAATTTGTTGTTAAACATGTCCAACAAAAAAAAAAAAAAGTAAAAAAATATTGCATTTTCTCAAATTTGTCGGTCTTTTTTTGTTTATAGCTCAAAAAATAAAAAACCGCACAGGCGATCAAATACCACCAAAAGAAAGCTCTATTTGCGGGGGGGGAAAAAAAAAAAAGACGGAAAATTTCATTTGGGTGCAGCTTTGCATAAATGCGCAATTGTCAGTTAAAGTAATGCACTGCCGTAACGCAAAAAATGGCCTGGTCAGGAAGGGGGGGGGGGGGGTAAATCCTCTGGAGGGCAAGTGGTTAATCACTTTTATTCCTAATCACAAAAGGAAAGCAAACATTCCTTGTGATAGAAATAAAGCAGTGAGAGGTCCCTCTTTATGGAGAGATACGGGGTCAATATCTCTTTTTGAAGTCACTGTGAGTTTAGTTGCATAGATTGGAATGGGTGCCATTGAAATAAATGGGCTGCAAATTGTCATGAGGCTTTATGTCTGCAAATGTTGCATGAAAAGTCACAGTGTGATTGGAGCCTCAATTAGCACCGAATGCAAAAGAGCATCAAACACTCAATTTTATGGTGCTGCATACATTTGGAACAGAAGTCTCTCCAATGCACTCAGACAAAAGTAGAAATTTGACAAAGGTTGCATTCGCTTCCCATCCCTGATAAAATACAGTATATATCCTTGCAAGGTAAAACAAAAATCAAACTAATTTGCTCTGGTGCTTCTGGATGCAGCCCAAGAGTCAGCAATGGCAATCAGAAGATTATGTCAGCCAAGTTCTCTGCTTCTGGATCAAAATTCTATTCGGCAAATGTGACACCAATCTGCTAATAGTGTATCATTCTGTGTAAAAACTGAACAACGTTACAGAGGGCAAGGAAGAGTTGAATGCACTAGTCTATTTTAAGTCACTGTCAATGGATACAGAATGTGAACAAAATGCTGAGGGACAATACATTTTTTAAATTTGTCAGGACAAAAACAATAGTCTGCAAGGAGTGAATTTTGCAGTCAATAAGTATTTGACTCAAAATTAAGCTTGGAAAAAAACCACTTACCTTTTTCAGCACTTTTGTGTTTTATTACAGGTGTATCGTGCCTGGCGATAGACATGGGCACTACTTTTCTAGTGGAACTCTCTATTGCGGAGACTGCAGAAACAGTGGCACTTGCGGTTGAAATATTAGACAAGCTTTTTGTCATGGATCCATAAGAATTATTTTCCTCTGTATCCGAATCATCAGAGTGAAGAGGATTGGTAAAGGATAACGGTGCTTGAAGTGTTGGTGCATTGCTGTGATCACTTAGACTCGTTATCTGTGATGCAAGAACACTGCTATTTATTACAGTTTTACTATCAAAAGAATGGGTATCTAAATGTTTATCAGCAGAGGAAGACACATTTTTACACTTTGTTTGCTCATTGCCAAAGTTAGTAGAAACAGAAAGTTCTTTCTCTAGAGGAAGATGGTCTGGTCTTGATGGAGGGTTGCAACTTCTCTGATGAGGTGTATCTTCTAAAAAGTTTTAGATGATTTCAAACTCCTACAGTCAATACAAGGGTTTGAAGACATAACAGAGAGACACTCTAGAGAGGCTGACATTGGAGGCTTAGCTAATTGGTCAACTGCATAGGATGAGGCAGATTTCATTTTAATGCCAAGTCCTCTTTGCAAGCCTGCACTAGCTTCAAAACTTTTTGGACTTTCTTGGAGAGGTACTTTTTTTATTTCAATACTTAGTTTGCGCTCCAACTTCTTCTCAACAATAGGCTCATTCTTTCCAAAAACTCCTCCAGATTTGCTATAGTTCTCATTCATATCTGTTGTATTCTCTGAGGATGCCATATGCAAAACTGGTTTCGGATGATAGCGATCATTGTCCTGCCACACTGTAGTCACAGTAGGATAAGCTGAAGGAGGTGATGGTGTCAGAATTGGAGGAACAGGATGCGGCTCTGGTGGTTGCAGAATTTCCTCCTTGACATCTCCTTCGACCAGGCAGCTAAATTAAAATGGATACAAAAATCATTATAGAGAATTTGACATATTGCATAATATATATCACATACACACACACACTTGTGCTGACTGTAGCAACTATACTAACATCACAGTCCCTAACAATTCCAATGTATAAGTTAACAGTAAAAGAACAAACTTGGGATACATGTACAAAATTACCATTTTACAAAATGTTTTGGACCTCATTTGGAACATTGACAGCAAAACTACCAATGTAATGGAGGACAAAGAAATTAATTCAACAAGACTTTAGAAAGTTTTTGGCACTGTCCCAAAGAAAAACCCTCAAGTAGTTTTGAATTTTCAGCAACAGAGCGTGGGGTTTTAAAATCAAATAAAAGCTTTAGTGCCAAGGCTGTGGAATGCAGCCCATATGCCAAAAATAGACAACACTTAACTTTCTTCCAGGAAGCCAAATAGAAACATTACAGTGCTCACATATTAGACCTATGTGACAATACACTTGCATTAGAACATAGGGCTGGAATGCCATGCTACAAGAAAAGAATGGAAGGGGAAAAATCTGAATCATACATTCCATTCTAAATCCCCCAAAACACTTTGCAGATGCAACTATTAACAAATATGGATGTATAGTTGTCAAAACAGCACTAGAGATAATCATAGATAACAAAACTCATGGCCACAGGGAACTATACAAGTATATTTTCTAAAAGTATTGCTGCTTAAAAAGGACAGTTACTTTCAGTAAACCGCTAACATTTAATTAGAAGCAGTATGTGTGTTCAATGGTACAAAATCAGACACACACACTTCCACTCACTCTGTAAAAAAAATAAAAGTCAGCAGCTACAAAAACTGTAGCTGCTGACTTTTGAAAATCAGCCACTCGCCTGTCCCACGATCCCACATTGCCCCCACCACAGCCCGTTTTACCGTCTGTCCTGTATTCCAGGAGTCCGGCATCTTCAGTGTGGGCACCTGGGTGTGACTGCTTGCGGCTTCACAGTTGGGTGCCCACTGCGTATGCGCGAGTAGCGCTGGGCTTCCTGAATGGCCCTGTCATCTTCTGGGACCAGTCACGTGTCTCACAAGACTTTGGGGAGGGAGGGTAGGATGACAACTTCCATATCCGATCGCCTAGGCGAAAGCAGCAGAAGTTGGAGCGGGTACCTGTCAAATTCGGGTATCCGTCACACCCCCCCCCCTCTCCCCAAAGGTGCCAATCCTTAATAGGGAGCGGGAGACCAATCCTTAAAGCGGAACTTCCCCTTTTGGGTGGAACTCCGCTTTAACTCCCTAAAATTAATTTCATTGCTCTCAGCCTTTTTTTTTCTGTTTGTTGTGATCAGACTTCCCAGCAGTCTCTCTCGCATGGAATGTGTAGCATGCATAGAGCAGTGCACATAACCGCAACTATCCTTCCAATCGCCCAACAAATACAGTTAAAAATACTAACACCACACAAAGCCATTTACAACTTTGCCCCAAGCGATACCAATATTGTTTCAATATATGACCCAAACCATCCTCTACAATCATCCCAAGACCTCCAGCTCTGTAACTCCCTTGTTTCCTCCTCCTATGCTTGCCATGCTCTGAAACTACTTACCTCAATTCATCTGGCTATCTCCCAATTTCTGTCTTTAGGCAATTACTGAAACCGCTTATCTTCAGGGAAGCCTATCCCGCCTCCACCTAGCAATTGAAACTAATTCTGCCATCAGCTCATCCCTCACAGGTTCTCTTTTATACCACTTTTCCCTCCCTATTAAAAATTGTAAGTGCTCATCACAAGCAGGGCCCCCCCTAAACGCTCTTGTATTGAAATGCATTCTAACTGTACTGTGTCCATAATGTTGTAAAGCACTGTGCAAATTGCAATGTAAACCATGTATAATAACCTGCACTACTTGTTCAAAAATAGATAAGCGCACGGAAAAAGGAGTGGCTCAGAAGCTCAAAGGGCATTAAAAGGAGGCAGGAAGATTAAAGTTAAAAATTATTTCATGAAATATAGATTGCATGGCCACCAGGTAGTGGATATGTATGGATTGTGTTTGGAAAATCAGGATGTCATTTAGGGGTTTATTTACTAAACCTGGTTGACTCAGAATCTTGTCCACTTCTGCATAAAAACCAATCAGCTTCCAGGTTTTATTGCTGAAGCTCAACTGAACATGCTAAGGTTAGAAGCGGATTGGCTACCATGCACAGGTGCCCAAGATTCTGAGTCAACCAGGTTTAGTAAATAAACCCCTTAGTGTCACTTTAAGCTCTCCCAGAGATAGTAACCACTATGGAATTAGATTGTACTATTTGCAATGTCTCTCTTCATGGTGCTACCGGAGCCTCCAAAGTGGCCATGTAAACAAAAATGTTCTCAATCTATATTTGCATAGGATTCAACCACCTCACTTAAATGTGGTTAGGCCTGAGGTCAGTTTTACGTGAAGCATAACAAAGCAAGGTAATCTATATCTGATGGTATATAAAATGGATCTTAAACTGTTGCTATTTGATACATTAACTCCAATAAGAAAAACTAGTTTCAAAAAGATAAAACATTAGAATGATGCACAAGTTAAGTAATACATCCATATCTAAAATTGCTAGTTTTGGACTGAAAAATGAAACTGCACACTATTGTGTGTTTCACTCTTCTGTGTCCTACCCCTATGCTCATCCCTCAGACTGATGTCAGAAATGACAGCCCCCGATTTTCTTTCAAGGTGTCAATTTTGAGCTTGTTGAGTAGCAACAATGCAAAGCAAAACATTCCTGACAGGATCACAGTGCTGACTCTCGCTCCTCTAAAACTGGCCATAGGAGTCGTCAGTTTTTTCCATTCAACCAGTGTGTTGAATGGAAAAAAAAAAAAAAAACACTAACCTTATTACCCCATTCACACATTCGATGTGGATAGGTGGTCCTCTATGTTGTGTCATTGTATTCTGGCAACAGGGAGACTTCCCCACTGTCAGAATACACAGATCAGAGCTGCAGTCTATATAGCCTGACGTGCTTATCACAATTTTTTCAACAGTGCTTGAATTTCGACCCGTATATAACGTCAGGCTTCATGCACACTGGGCTTTAAAAAATGCCAGTTCCCTTGGCAGAAAAAAAAAAAAAACCCCGCACTTTGTACACATGCTTAGCTGCAAATAGGTGTGATGAGTGTTTTTTTTTGCCCGAAATGCCATTTCAAAAATGCAAACCGGAAGGAAGGGTTTTTCTTCCTGCCTCTAAACGCTGAGCTTAAAATATGCCTCTATATGTCCAAAAGTACAGATTAATAGTTTTTAGGGGCATAAACTGAAAAAAAAAAAAAAAAAAAACCCAAAACATAGTTGGATTCTTTTTTTACATCGTATGTCCTTGGGAGTTCAGAATTGTGGGCTACATAAAAGCAACAAACATACATATCTATATAGCTGCAGCATCAGTCACTTGCAGGCTCTAACAGTGAGAACTGAGTGATTCCATGACTGCTGGTCACTCTTCTCAGTCTACTCTGAGCAGAGAGCAGTGACTTTCAGTCACTGCACTCTGTTCTGCCCCTCCAGCGCTCACTGGAGTGCCGGGCAGGGGGAAGGAGCAGGAGCGGCTGGCTGAAGCTCTCAGCAATGCATGGAGAGGTTAAGCCATCTGCCGGCCAGGCATCTGGGTGGATTCCAATGGGATTTAGCCTGCTGTCAACTGATTCTGGGTCACAGGAGAACACAAATGCACTCCTGTGACCTAGAGAAGGCCAAAAAAGATTTGGCCATATTTCTTTTAGGTGATAAAGTACATACTACAGGCATGTTTTTTGGTTATGGGAGGAATACACAAATATGGGGGGGGGGGGGGGGGGCACATTCAAACTTCATAAAGAACTGCAAGATTAAACTGCACACTCCAAAATCCCCACTTCTAGAAAGCAGTGAAATACATCCTCCAAAATATATCTCCATGCCAGCAATAAAGGGAAAAGAATCAACACAAAACAAACGTTGTGTACTCGTGTAAATATAGCACAATGTTTGTTTGTTTTTTTTAATAAAGTCTTATACCAACTCTTGCATCTTTATTAAAATCTAATACTCCTTGCATTGATCTAAAAGTCCCAGCCAATTGGTAAAACTGCAATCAAATGAAAGTATAATGGGCTTCTTGCCTGTAGAACAAATTCAGTGCACGGATTATGAAAGATTTAGGCAAAGAAGTCAAAATTTTTACAAAACACATACCTACGTATCCGAGGTGGCTTTGGTGGGGGGGAATCCATTTTCTCACTCTCTGTGCAACTAGTTTGGCTGTCTGTATTTTCATCCTGTCAACAGACATTTAGTAATAACAGTATCATTTAAAGATCCACAACAACTATATACAAACAGATGACAAATCGTTAACAGGCTTATTAAAAAAATGAAAAACATTTTGCGGTTTTTCTAGGGAATTACTGATGGTATTCTTTAAAATTCTGTTTAGGGATATATATATATATATATATATATATACATACACACACACACACACACACATATACATATACACACACACACAAAAATTGCTAAACATTTTTTACACTACTCTAAACCTGACAATTTTTCACCAGGGGAGAATATGTGAAGAGAAAAAAAAAAAATCATGAAAGTGGAGTTTATTTGCCACATTTTCACATTATAAAGAGGTGAACATTTTAATGTGAAACAGGGCAAAGTGTGATTAAATAAAAAAACATTTTGCAAATCTTGATTATAGACCCCTATTGGCATTCTGCTATACAAAATTGTCAGTTTGCCTTTCGCTCTATTTGGAGCATATTTGAGTAAGAGCCCCAAGGAATGTTCTGTCAGTCATGGCTGTAAAGTACATGTGCAACTGGCATCACATGCAAAAAAAAAAAAAAAAAAAAAAAAAAAAAAGATTTCAGTCAACAGGATCAGTCTTTTTTTTTTTTTAACTGAAGGTAAGGATTGAAAAACTTTAAGGCTGTATTCTGTAAAACAGTCATTATAAAAAAAAAAAAAAAAAAAAAAAAGTACTGATCATTAAGGCAAGGAACAAAAGTTCTAGTGTGATGATCAGTAAATCAACTTTTTAATGTGCAAAAATTGTCCTGTTCTTTTTTTACCAATGGTATACATCAGGGGTCTGCAACCAGTAGATCGTGATCTACCAGTAGATCTTGGCCAGGTGACTAGTAGATAGCGGCCTGGGCTTGCTAACCCGCCATCCCTGAGCACCAAACACAGTGCAATGCTGTAGTAGGGAACAAGAGCCACATAAGCCGATGCCTCCTTTGTAGTGCTGGTTCCTGTCCCATGCGGAGTGATACAACTGCACTCCACCTCTTATTCCGGCTAGCGGTCTCCAGAGTGACCTATCTTCTTTCCTGCTGCTGTCACCAATGTGAAGCAATACAGTGGGCAGAATAATATAGGGCTGCTTTCACACTGATGTGCTACGGTTTGCACACACCGTGGCTTTCCTGCAGGTTTGCTGCTCTTAGCCATAGACTATTATATCCTGTGGGTTTGGTGCACTGAATGCAGGAGTTTTGATGTGCTTTCAGAAAGTGCACCACATCTGCAGGATAGAATACAAGGTGGTATCAAGTTTCAAGACTAGGTGTGTTACAACAGATGGCAGCAAGCAGTCACAGGGAACACCAACCTTCATAAGCCAGTGTGCCAAAAACCAATGTCCTGTGTAGATCGGGAGCCGTGCAACTGGTGCTATTCTGACCACATGCATTACCACGTCTGCTATTTCATCATGGACAGCAAGTTAGAACAAAGAGCAAACAAGAAGTTCTGCTTGAAACCAGGCAAATCTGCCACAGAGACAGTTGACATGATTCAGCAAGTTTACAGCGATGCTGCAATGAGTCCGAGGAGTTTTGAGTTGCACATGCATTTCAAGAGCGGAACAACATCACTGGAAGACAAGATCAGGAAGACCTTCAATGAGTCCAACCCCAGGAAATACACTCTTCCTGAAGATGAAGGCCCAACTCAAAGGTTGCAGTTTTGACGACAATGCGGAGATCCAGCAATTTCCCCAGCGATCCAAGTGTGTTTAACCAGTGGTGAAGAGGCGATAGTTGCCTCCTCACCATCTGATTTAAACCAATGATGGCCATGCAATGCACGCGATTTCGAAATGGTAGTATGGCAATTAGAGGATTAAATCAGGTGTGAGGAGGTGACACTGTGCCCGGTGATGTTGGACTTCTTCCATGCTGTTCAGGTAGATCTCTACCTCTTCAAGGTTGCCTACCACTGGTATGCATGTATACACATATGCTCTAAAACAGATTTTTGGATTTCGTGTTACGATCCTGGGGGCAGTGTATTTTTAAGCACCCATGTGAATGCCTCCATTGAAATCCATGCAGATGTACTCAGATCCGTAAATAAAAAAAAAATAGCTGTAAATGCATTTGTTTCATACTTTACATACCAATCCATCCACAATCTTCCTAGACTCATTCTCATACAGTTGAAGTTGCTTTTCAAATAGCTGAGCTATAGCACGATGTACAAGTTCATACTGCTCCTGAAAATAAGAAGTAAACAGTATTAACAAAAATTTTCAAAAGCGTGTAAGAGGATAAAACTTTCTGTATAGGACTAAACTGGAATTTTGTACTTTTACATCTGCACTGTTATTGAGGGACACGGGATTTGTAAAATATTGTGTTGTATTGATGCATACATGTAGGTTTGGAAACTGGCAAGACAAGGAACAGTCTCAGTATGCCTCAGCTCTGTGGAAAAACAAGAGCAAGGTAATAGATATTGAGGCACACAGGGCCCACCCATTTATCTCTCCAATAAATGGATTTACAGTAAGCACAAAAATCCAATTTTCTCTCTCGCTCATTAAGGGGCAAACTTTTCATAATATTGGGATCTCCAAAAGCAGTCCAACTGACGGGCAATATTAGCAAAACACAAACAGACCTGCACCACAACAACATAACCTGAGGCTGTCTGCAGCTCAACGAACTACCATAAAGACCTTATGCCCAAAGCTGGCATCAGATTAAGCCTAAACACCCATTTAGTAAACTTAAAAGAGCAACTCAACTTTGAGGGGGGGGAACACATTCCCCTCTGGGTTCGATGCACACTGCAGTTATCTTAAAGTTTGTTGCAGATTCTTACCATTTGTTATTCAGAAGAAATAGCCGTTTGTGTCCATGTGAAAATTAATAGAAGTGACTTTTTCAATATTGATCAGCTGCTGCTCTTGCAGGGTTCTAATGAGGAAAGAGGCAGGGTCTGAATGCCCTTAGGCATATTTCCTTTTGGAAATTTCCTGCCAAAAATTAAAATTTTGGTAGCAGAGGACGCAAGGATGCCCAAAATCTGATTTGTAGCTCAGTGCAGACTTCTAGGGAAATCAGTGAGCCAATCACACAAGCAGGAAATTAAATTTTCGTGGGGCATTCTGTATACCATCTGTGTACATGAAGCCTCCAATTTGCCATATTGCATTACCTTTTACAGAAAATTACAATGCTGCCTATTGAAAAGGAATGGTAATTTTTAATAACTTTATATTAAAATATGGCTTGTGTTGCAATTGTATATGCTAACTTTTTTATGCAATATTTCACCATGAAAGTGGAATTACCCTTTAAGCTGGCCATTGGTTTTTTTTGATCAGCCAGCTTGCTTGAACCAAAAACAGAGACAACAAAAACAAATTCTCTCTTCCCCACACTGGAGGTGGATGAAGGAATCCTCCCCAGTGCACTATTAGATTCTGAAAGCAAGACTTCCCCACTAAGAATACACTGATCAGCGCTGCAGCTTGTTGGCTGCAGATGCTGATCAAACTAAAACATACCAACACAGTCTCTTTCGATAGTCAATCATTAGATAAAACTCTCAAACGAGGATGAATAGAAGAAACAAAATACAGCCAAGTCCCTGCTGAACTGACCGAATACCGATCCATCTATGGCTAGCTTTAGAGAACATGTAAACTGAAGACCAGGTGGCAGCCTTACAAATCTGGAAAACCATTCCTTAATGCCATAAAGCCCACAAAGCACTCATAGATCTAGTAAAGTGTGCCTTGACAGGAAAGGGTGGAACCTGATCCCTAAAACCATAAGCTTCGATGATTTGTCTGAGCCACCAAAAAAATGGCAAGAGAGCAGCTGGTTCCCCTTTCCGAAGGCTGTAAGGTATGACAGACAGCCAAAGTACCAAGTGGCCTACAGTCAAATTCCAGTCTGGTAAGAGAACACAAGGAGACCTACATGAGAGAAATACCCCATACAAAGATCTTAAGCAAAAATAAGAGGCTATCAGCCTCTCAAAAAAACAAACCAAAAACACAAAAAGGATTACAAGCGCCAAGATCTGAACCTTGATGGTACAAATCATGATTGTGGCCTGACTGCAAAAGGTCAGTATTTGTTCCAGAGTATTTTCTGGGATAAAAAAAGCTTCTTTGGACAAACTAAGTCTTCCATGTACGATTGTAGATCTTCTCGGAAGCAAACCTGGCTTTTAACATCATGGGAATCACCAATTCAGAGTGGTCTCTGTCCCTCAAAGGAAGAGCACAAGTGGCATTCCATAAATCGGGGATTATGTATGCACTCAATCCCTCAGCATACCTCTTTCCTCGATAGACCAACAGGAAACAATAATGGCACCAAATAGTCATGATCACAAAGTAGCTCCTGCCGCTCAGTCTACCTACAAAGATAGTCTTTAAAGAGGGCCACACTAGAGGCTGTGCCATAGCTTTGGTCTTGAAAGTGCACCACAGCTAATAGTACTCAGTCTGGAATGTGACCTTTGAGCACTGGGCCTTGCATTATGGTGCTTTCCAGAACTAACCCCATAATTGTCCAGTGTAGCAGGGGTCTGGGTATAGCCTCCAAATAAATTGCCAAAGATACACTGATCCAGGTAGCTGCACATAAAACACCACCTCTATCGCTGGGTGTCCTACATGCGTGGATGTTGCTGCGTTATGTAAAATTATTTATTTAGTCTATTTTTCAAGGGTGCCTTGACTGGAAAAGAGTTGGGAAACTTTGCTTCAACCATAAGAAAATGTAATTTAAACTATCTTTTTTTATTTTGCTTTAGCAGGTAAATATGAAATACTGCACATCAACTCTATAGGTCATGTGCAAGCGATTATGGTAGAGACCTGAATTGACTACCACTTGCTGACGGCAAGCATAAATGACTACTTTGTTAACATGCTTTAAACCCTTTTGCTTCTGTACCCAGCCTGCCATTTTGCACCTTAAAAGGGAGTAAAGGAAGCTTACATACCCTGTCAGTTTGTTGCCATCTGTGTCCCACTGGGAGATTTCCGTTCACTTCCTATCCCATTTCCAAAAAAGGAAGTGAGAGGAAATCCCTGAAAAGTCAGAGAATCCCTAGTGTCCTCACTGAATGATTTCTCCTCTACTCAAACCTAAAAAAAAAAAAAAAAAAAAAAAAAAAAAAAGAAGGTGCTCAGCGGTTACAGGAGCATACCAACCCCACCACCTTTACGACCGCTGGGTCTGGGTGAGTGGGTCCAGGTGAGACCTCCATAGGAGAGTGCCGCAGGGGAAGTAGAGTCAGTGGTTTGAATTCAGGTTTCGGTGATTGCTAGGAGGTTGAGGGAGCGGGAGACAAAGAGGTCATGGATGGGCAGTCTTGTACTCAATTGTTAACCCAGCTTGTTAATAGAGCTTGATATTTATTATTACCACACAGCAAAGCAGCTGTGAGATTGACAGAGAACTGGGAGTCTGTAGATGCTGAACACAGTGGTTTATTTCAATATGTGAAATTTAAAATGTGTGGACTCAAAAAGGAAACAAGTGTGTTTTTAAGGGCAGCTGACTGCATTCAAGCTTGGACATGACCCCATAACCACAGCTATTGTGTGTGTCTACATGGGAAAAGCAATGGCTGCCGACAGCCTGTCAGTTTAAATAGGCTGAGTAGCCCTGGTCATTCTAGCCGTAAGATTCCACTAGCCGCATTTAACCAACTGTGTGAATATGGCCTATGAATTCTGTGGAAGCCACTTTGATACAAGAAAAAAAAAAAAAAAAAAACACTTGATACAATAAAAGAACAATTCAATATACTATGTTTTTTTTTTTCCTTGTTTCAGAATAACCATCAGAAAAAAGAAGTCCATGTGATGGAGATAACTCCAAAACACGTCTGGTAGACATGATTGTCATTAGGAAGGTCACTTTGCAGGTGAGATCACCCAAGGTGAGCTCCCTAATAGGTTCCAATGCAGAATAGAGCAAAGCAAATTGAGATCCCAAGGAAGCCAAAGGTTTCTGGAATAGACCAGAATTGAAAATACAGAATAATTACTGGTATTGAAAAGCCTTTGTACACACCAGGCAAAAAAGAATTTTCAGGTATGATAGATTTTGTTTCTAGAAAAAAAAAAGCTGAGAAGCAGGATGCCGCAGGGGTCCTTGAGACTTCAGGTCTGGCCTGTTTGGGAGAGGCCAGGGGTCATCTCTAATACATCTGAATATGTCATTGCACCATATTCTTTAGGGGCAGTTTGGTGTCATAAGGATCACCAGTTTCTTCTCTTCCTCTATGCTGTGGAGCAGTGCAGGAAGAATCTGCACTGGAATGACGGCATATTAACCTGAACAGAGTCCAGGTAATTACCAGAGCACCCTATGCCAATGTTAGAGAATCCTTGGTCCTGGACAGAGTTAAAACTTGTTGAACCTGGGAGGCCAGGATATCCACATCTGGAGTTCCCCATTTCTGACATAGGAGTTTGTAGATGTTAGGATGAAGAGACTATCCTATTGGACCAGGTGGTGACTGAGGATATCTGCCTTCCAACTGTCCACTCATGACATCCCATGAGCAGAGATTGCTGGATAGTATTTTTTCCACCTAGGAGGTTGATTAGGTCCACTTCCTTCAAGGCTTCTTAAGTTTTGGTAACCCCCTTCCCTTGCACCCTGACTGGGTGTCCTTGAAGAAAGGGGGTCCAGGGGTAGAGCCAATTTTTTTGCTGTGAACTCCAAGGTGTTGACAAAGCTTTGCTGAAATAACGTTCCCATTTTTAAGGGTGGAATGAAAATCCTCTAAGCTAGGGAGTTCCTTGCTTATATGGGGTGTGTGTTTCAAACCATCAGAATGACACCTTGAAAGGACTATCTGGTCTTACAAATTCTCAATCTCTCCTGTTAACACCTATGTTAACCAGCCGCAGGGGAAGGCCCGTTGACAACAGATGGGCCTTGGTAGCCGCTATGGGTAATGTCCATGTTCCCAGCCATTCAAATGCTCTCCTCTGCTCTAAAGTCTCCGCAGGATAACATAGGAGACGACCATGCGGCTGAACTAGAGCAGGTTAAAAGTAGGTAAGTACATACATCTTTCTTACACAGGTAAGTCGGGATAGGTGTTAAGAGGGAGCATTTTAAGACTAGACAGGTTTAGCCAATAACTCTACTTAAGGTCTGAACACTAGATCTTGCAGAGAAAAGCTTGTTTGCAGGGCTGTACTTAGGATGAGGCCTAAATCATACAAAC